TGGTAGTGCAAATTTCGATGTAGTCCTGCTCCAACGATGCGATTACACTTACCTTTGAATCTTTTTCGTTCAATATTTTCATCCACCAGCAGAATTTTCAAATAAGTCCTTCCGTTTCTCTGAGCAACTTGCTGGCCTACTGTGGAAAAACAAATCATGGGAGACAAAAGTACATTTTATGGGGTTGGTCGTGTATTTCGAAACTCCGTTGCTTTGGAAAAATATATCCCAGTCAGACTACTAGATTTACTGGGTCTAAAGGGATTTCCCAACTCATTGGTTTTCAATCAGTATCCTTATCACAACAGTTTCTCTCGAAACCATTACATTCCTTTGGAAGCTCTGTGGAAGTTCAGAAAGTTATGCTGACAGCATGTCCGTCCAGCCATTCGGACCATACTCCCCACCAGCGAACACTCCGTTATCACTTCAGAAGCAAACGTTTGTGCGTTGTTCCACCCTTCTCACTTTATCCTAGATGTGACTTTGTTAAGGTCAAATTAAGCTTGCCTCAAAAGCTCCAGTTTCCGTGAGCGGAAGGAATTCCAGGATTAGCGAAATACACTCATTTGCAAACTAATTTGGTTTTGCGGAAGAGTCACCTGGAACTTTATGTCCTACTTGACATAGAGTTGACGAAAACTCGGAGACTGCGTCTACCTGATGAGCCTCAAGAAGGACGAAACCAGTCGTGGGCTGTCGACAAATTTTCGGCAACCTTATGAGTAGTGCATTACGAATATACATGTATCGCGATATACCGAATATCGTAGCGACCGAAATATGAGGCGACCTGGTGCAGCACATTCGGTTGCCTAAAAATATCACGAAGGAGGGATTCATCTGGGTTCCAAGTGAGTCGCAAGGCCAAATTAGTTTGTAAGTGAGTGGAGTTCGCTGATTTCGTGCAATTTGGTTTCAAGTAGAGCATAAAGTTGACGGAGACTCGGGGACTATGCCTACCTGATGAGCCCCAAGAAGGGCGAAACCAGTCGTGGACTGTCGACGAATTTTCCGCAACCTTATGAGAATTCAAGAGTATTCACTGCATTAAATCGCTTCACTTCCCATTTGGTTAGATGCTGCGAATGGTACTTTCCCTCTCAGCTGACTGGATCCCCCAATACAACTCATTTTGAGGCCTACCAAAATAGATAGACCATTCCGCCGGTCACAAAGGTTGTTGATCGGTTCGGTTTTCTTACAATTCCATCCAAGTGGCTCTAAGTCTTGTTTGAACTATGCGTTTCCACCTTAGTTTGTAAGTGAGTGTAGTTCGCTGATTTCGTGCAATTTGGTTTCAAGTAGAGCATAAAGTTGACGGAAACTCGGGGACTACGCCTACCTGATGAGCCCCAAGAAGGGCGAAACCAGTCGTGGACTGTCGACGAATTTTCCGCAACCTTATGAGAATTCAAGAGTATTCACTGCATTAAATCGCTTCACTTCCCATTTGGTTAGATGCTGCGAATGGTACTTTCCCTCTCAGCTGACTGGATCCCCCAATACAACTCATTTTGAGGCCTACCAAAATAGATAGACCATTCCGCCGGTCACAAAGGTTGTTGATCGGTTCGGTTTTCTTACAATTCCATCCAAGTGGCTCTAAGTCTTGTTTGAACTATGCGTTTCCACCCGGGTGTTTTGACGCAGATCTGCCTTATAAGCATGGCTTATACACCAAAGCTTCACCCCACCTAACACCTACCCAACTGCGCACTGACGATGTCTCCTCGTACGGTGAAGAGAAGTTTGCAAGCCAACTGCCAAGCTCGGCGAACAAGCCAACAGCCACCTGATCAACAACCAACGACCTAAGTGGTCTCGGGTCGTCGTTAGTTACGTTCTGGCTCATTTACAGTCCAGGATCAACAGGCGTGGCTGCCTCTTAACTGCTTTACTCAGACCGTTGTGAGCAGAAGCACTCACCTGCTGCTCGAAGCCCAAATTACATGCGATTTTAAAGGCCTCATCATCAAGATATCTGAAAATGGACGGTGTGCAGTCATCCCTTGAGACACGGAAGAAGGACCATGGAGATAGGGCAAACCAAAAATCGACCAAATACGAAAAATTCCCTAACAGGACAGTGAGGTTACCGTAAATATCAAACTCGGCGAACAGATTGACAGCCACTTGATAAACAACCAATAAAGCATAAACATGTGCAAGCCCAGTCGTTCACCAAGCAGGGATATCTCTTCGAAGCGAATTTTGTGGATGCGTGACCTACTGCCCAGTGCTAATCGATGCAAGAGAGATGCAAGCAGAGAAGATTGCTTTTCCATGACCTTTGTGCAGTCACATATATGTCCTTTCTCTGAAGAATTGCTGGCCCAAACTCGTTAAAGAAAACCCTACTCTCATCAGCATAAGACTAATTTTCATGTCCTCTGTTAACATCGAACTGATTTCTTCCTCTTCACTAGGTTAGATATGCAGCCAAAGTAGTTGCAGCTTTGTTGACGGAATATACTACTTACAAGGTTGCTGTGAGGTCTCCGACACTCCACTGTGGACTTTGTCTTTCCCCGTGTTCATCAGATAGACGCAGTCCCAGACTCTCCGTCAGTCTGAGGGGGATTGGTTCATCACCATGGTTACCCACGCACTACGAGCCCGTTCTATCCCGACCAACTGCACTTTTTGAAAGGGCATGATTTCGTCCTTTCTAGCCAGCATACTATGGACTTGCGGTAGCTGGTTTTGCGATCTCCCTTGTTGTGAAAACACTTGGTCAAATAAGTTTCCATTCAAATAAAAGACGAACATTTTTCCGGGTCTTATAGTGTTCATGACGAGTGACAAAGCTGAGCTCTTTCCTCAGTACAGCCTGAGACTAGCCTGATCTTTTTGTGTACTATGAAAACTCGGGTTGTAACTTTGGCCCCGACCATCGGGTATATTTGTCTCCAGCCGAAACAAGTCTGCACGGGTGAACCCCGCGCGGCCCTACAGCAAGCACGAACACAAGTAGGTATCCTACTTGAACCAGTTGATGATCACATCCTGATGTGCCTACCTCAGAACCTAGCATTCGATAAAGCGAGTTGCTTTGAAATTAGAGTAGTGTTTACTAGGCAGTCTGTCTCAACATTTTGCTGTCAATGTATAGCATTTTACCAGAGCGTTAACAACCTGAAATCATCTACCTGAGAGTTATGGATGGCCGAATTTGTTAGACTTATCGACGCAGTGTACAGATACGTTGGAGTGTTCTGACTCATGGTACTATGAGCGATGTTCATTGCTGGCGGGCATTTTGCGATGTTGATCATCCCTTAGTGGGGGGTTGTTAAACGCACTTCGTCAGCTACAGATTACCTGTTGCCACCTGATTCGTGACACGGCGTAATTTGCGGGATTATGGGTTCAACAGCAAGTTTAGTCGTCAATCCTCAGGGCTTTAGACTCAAAGCCGTTTCATCGACACTTATCATCACAGAAGCTTGATTTGTATCAGAACCCCAGATTCTTACTCGAAGAAAGAAACTGGAAATCAAGTATAGCCCTAAGGGAAATTGGAAGCCTCTTGACCCGGTGACATAAGGCAGCTGAGACATTCGGGGGGAACTAGCCTCACGCTATTCAACGCAGTTGATTAGTCGTTTGGCTTCATAAAATGATTTGTTGTTTCTGTCCAATAAAGTCCAATAGTGCACGATGATTTCAAGAACCCCTCTCCATACTGGGATAATTTGTGTTGTTTCCGGCCAATTAACTCAGCCAATGGTATATTAGAAAGAATGTGGTCGGATTTCCAAAGGCACAATTGCGGTCATTATCCGTTTGTGTCAATAAAACTGTTGTTTTTGTCATCTAGTCAGTTCACAGACCAGTAGACGCAATTTGCAGTCCACACGTTCGCACGTGACACGCAACACGAAAGTTCACCAGGATTCCCATTACAACCCCCCCACTAAGCCTGCGGCCAAGTGACTGCCGCGTCATTGCGATGACTCACGCGTACACTGAACTTTTTATCAAAGCAGGCTTAGTCATCAACATACAGGACGGTGTTATTGATTAGTAAGTGGAATTCAAGCGCAGTCTGGCGTAAGGTAATCAGCTGGCCATGGGACAACAACCGGTATGTTGGGCGGAAGGAGATGAGACACACATATTTGCACAACAATTTGTTTTTCTTAAAAAAGTAACTGAGCTGAACTTCAGCTGAATTTCTCGCTCAACAGAATGGGGTGCACAAAGACCGCCTCGTGTTTCATTTGGGGCAATATTGGAGGTATCGCTGTCTAGACGCAACACACTACTTATGAGGATAAAGGGTAGGCTTTTATTTGTGCACAAAACAGCAGGTTTTAGGCAAAACAATAACAAAACCCGAAGATAAAGCACTCAAGGTTGCCTTGGGCATGTTTTGACACAAAAAGCATGAAAAGATCAATAATGTTTCCATTCAGTTAGTATTTTTAGAGGCGATCTCCAATAAAACACGCCAACCAACTGACGGATACTCTGTAAACCACCCCTGATTAAATTGATCGTGCTGGTTGGAGTGACGGTGCTATGTAGGCCGAGATTCAAACGAATAATCAATGCTCATTTCAAGAAGGACCGCCATGAAAAAGAGAAGTGGACCTCGCCAGAGGGTTGACCATTCGTTGAAAGGTCAATTTTTATGCCATGACTGACTTGGGGCTCCGTTGTGTTTTTTGAGAGGACATTTCTGTCCAGATACTGTTCAGCCCTAAACCCTTACTCCGCAAACTTTTCCGTCTTCAACACAAACCAACTGTACGAAATGGCCAATACATGCCTTTCAGATCACTTGACCTGTACTAAACGTCTGAAGGAATGGATGCCCACTTCCAAGAAAAGAGGAATGCGAAATTTTTGGTGGGTAGTGAATGGCCCCTTTCGTTTGGTCAAACCAAGAGTCTCCACATCACAGACCACCCACAGGACCTGCAACCTGTTGACGCAACTTGGCTAAATTTTGGGCTACTCTGGAATGTTCGGCCAGCCCACGTTTAAAAAGGCCCGCCAGTCCTGGGCTGAACCCTCGGACCCAATAGAATCAGGGATAAAAATGGCGAATCCGATCTCTAACCCAATTGGTGGGTGAGGAAACTGCAGTAGAGTTTTTTTATTCACATCGTGATGAATTTTCAGAAAAATAGCGAATCAGTGTAAAGTGGGTAGCCAAAGTAAAAATCTGGTTTAGTCACATGTTTGCGGTAGTTTCAGTGTGAAGGCAGAACAGAAGTAGACAGCTGGTTTGTCTTCTACTCCACGGGAAATACAAATTTTAGTCCAAACACTCGAACAGTCAAACATCCCACTTTGTTTGACTGGAACGTTTGTGGCGAATGTAGCCCCATCGGGGGTGAGACAGATACACATGACACAGAACTCGTTAAATCAATGTTACATTATCTGGTACACAACATCCTTTTGTCAATGAGGCGTTCCACTAGAGGATAGCTCCTCCTATGGTGACGCTAACCTGGTTGTCAAGTACCTTACTTCAGGGGAGGTCACTCCTGAGAGTGTCTCGATGGAGTGTGTGGTGACAGTGTGACAATTATTACTGAGATGTTCGACGGCGTTGTGAATTTCAAAACCTCAGGGGAGATTCCGTCCAACTTGGCAGCTTATCCCCTCGCTGAATTGTACCATAACAGCTACATGCGACGACCCAACAAGAGGAAATCAACTGTGATCGGGAAACGATTTGAAACCCAATAAAATCAATAAACCCTGCTGGTAACTTGAAGACAAGTCTCAAAAAGTTGCAAGTAGTGATAAAGTTCGGGTCAGTTGTCAGAATTGTCACCGAAGAGTAAAAATGTCGTCACAAAGTTCCAAAGAAATAAAGCAAAACTCACGTAAATCAATTTGGTTTTCACGAGAGACTCAACGGAATCTCTTGTTTATGATGTTCTACAACTGAATGTGCTGCACACAGGCCGCCGCATGATTCAGTTGGCACGATATTCGAGCTATCGCAGTATATTTTCATAAACGAAACTACTCACAAGGTTGCTGAAAACTCACTGATTTGCAAATGAGTGTATTTCTCGAAAACAGTCCTATTTGGGTTCAAGTAGAACATAAGGTTGACGGAAACTCGGGGACTGCGCCTACTTGATGAGCCCGAAGTGGAAGGGCGAAACCGGTCGTGGGCTGTCGAGCAGTTTTTAGCAACCTTGTGAGTAGTTTTCTCTGCCACCAACCTCTGTACCAGTATCTCAGGTGTAGCACCTAATCTTAAGGAAACGGCCTTAAAGGAGGAGAGAATTACAGTAGATTTAATGCAGGTGCGAAGTAACTATTTTGTAACATCTAGTGTATAATAATAGTAACAGTAATAATAAGAGTAAAGAAGTGTGTTCTGGTTGTAGCGTTGTTTCAACGTACACTGACAATCACCTTGTGATCAACCTGATTCCACTGCAGCTAACTAAATCACTTATGGTGTGGTGATTTTCACTTGTGTTAGCATTTCTTTGTTCGTAATCAAAGAGGACCTCGAAGAAGAGTCGCTGAGACACAGGAAACGATCCAAACACATGATCGGATTCACCATAAGTTTTTCCGATCACGTCACACTGCGAGATAATGGAGCAGTCTAGTGACAGTGTTCTTGCTTGTTTTATTAGAAGCGATTACTAGAGATTCGGGTGCACTGGTCTCCGTGAATGAAACTAGGTGGGATTGGACGTGATATACTAGTAATAAGACTGCTGAAAACTCTTCGAAAACCAACGACCAGTTTTGCCCTCCTTGGTCTCATCGGACAGGTGTAGTTCCCGAGTTTCCGTCAACTTTATGTTCTAGTGGAACCCAAATTAGCCAAGTGCACTCGTTTTCATTCCAATTAAGTTTTGACGGGAAACTCACCTGGAACCGAACTGAATCCTTGGTTTATGATTTTCTCAAGCGATATCTCGAATATCATACCAAATGAAGCATGAGGTGGCCTGATGCCGCAGATTCAGTTGCGCTGAAAAGCAACGCCAATACAATTCACCAAATGATAGCCCAATGATATGGAGTCGCTTGGTTAGCTGTGCTAGTGAACGCAAGCGCCGTGTAAAGCTTCGGACGAAGTGCAAAGTCAAGCGATACAACTGGCTCAGCTGCACTAAACTGTGCCGCAGCGAATAGGGTGGAAGCGTAGGGGGAAGGACGATGGTGAGTGGCTGGTGTTTGTGAGAAACTTTACTATTGGCCTGGATCCAGGAAAAAACTTGACGGAGGGGCGTCCACACCGGCATGCGGTTTTTGATTAGTGCGTGTTGTCTTGGGCGCAACTGTAACATTAGACCTCCACTACACCGGAACACTCACATTGTCCTTGCTAGCCAACTCCAACCAGCATGCAGGTAGTGTGAGGAGATTTGGGGAGTCTGGTGAAGATTTCTTCTCCTCAGCGAAGTCAATCTATGTTGAACAGCCGAGAAGCACTGTACAGTTGTTTCATCCTTATCGGGAATCATCGGCCGTAAGCATCTCACGATACTCTAGAAAGTCTCAAACCCACGACTTCCAGGTTAGTAGCTTAAATACTCAACAGTTTGGCCACGAGCGGCTGACCAGTGGTGGGATTAACTCAGCCATACAGTGTTTCTCGGCTTATCCGCATAGATTAGCTCCACATATGGGACGAAATCTCCGCCATTTGGTGTACAGAAATTGTACTTCTCTCGCATTCCCCACGTGTTCACCATCTTTCATTATCTCAACTCAAAGCCGCCGTACTGGTGAGCAAGCTTTTTTGCAGTTTCAATGATCAGGCAAATGATCTCCAGTGATACCGCATATGGATAGACAGGAGGGGACCAAACCGATCCCTCCAGTACTCCACATAATTTCGGGTTTTGATATGACCGGATATTTTATACATTTCCGCCTCCCAAACTTAATTCCTGGGGTATATATCAATTGCGCTGGCTTGTCCCAGCATCACCGCGCTCAATGAATCCGCACACCCAAATCAGATATGTGGCTAGTTATGAAGTTGATGATCAAATGAAACCACCTTTTAAAGTCTGAACTGAATGCTCTTCAAACAATGAAATATCAACGCCAAAGTCAGTTCATTTGATACGACAAAACTGACGAGAAAACACTTCACAACTAGATTACTCAGTGATGCACTTTAAAAGTCACTTGCAAACAAACTCCCTCTGGATAATGTTGACAATTCTTCTGAACTCTTGCGCAGTAAGGTCGGTTTGTTTATTCCACATTAGCTTGTCTGTCGTGGACAACTCTCCTCGGTCACTGTAGCAAATGAGCCGTTTGTTTATAGCAGTCTGCACAATCACTGTTTATCGCTCCACATTCCGTTTCACTTTGAACCAAAATGTGCTATTGTCGTCAGCGCTCGAGTTACGTTGAAGGTCAGCGACTGTTTATAGAACTCAAGCCATACTGGGTCATATACAGTTTATTCAAACAGTTGTTGTCGCTGTTGGAGTGGTCACTGTGTCACGGCGGAAGACCACGTACAAAACGACCAAACAGATATCAATGCTAGTGAGGTTATACACGTGCTACTGACCAGATGACCGAATGAATGTCGGTTGAATCTTTCAGGTGTGATGAAAACTTCAGCCGGGTGTGTTGCAAAAAAGGCAGCTTTATTTTCCAGTTGGCACGACGGACTATTTCGCTCAATGCAAAATACTACTTACAAAGGTTGATTAAAACCCCTCGATTCTGATCAGCGCGGCTGAAATAGACTTTGTGTATGACACCCAAGTGGCGCAATGATTGATCTCTTGAAAATAATTTGGAGACCGCTAGGAATCCTACCCAAGTGGATAGGGTACTTCCGTTTGTCAACATCAAGGGGAGTTTCTGAAACTTATTGGGGGGAATTGTACCTGAGAATTTGCTGTAATGCAAAATTGCATCAAGAGACTTTGAAAGGCAGCATAGTGAGTGCACTTTCATGATGTTTTTTCCTTCAGCGAGATGGTCCAGTGGTTAAAGCGCGGAAGGTTTTTGCTTCGAACCCGACCTCTGCGTCTCAACTTCCCCTGCCTAGGCTTGGGCAACCTGGCAAGAGCCCAGCCCTCGTGCTTCCTTTGGGTGGCATGGCAGCTAGTCACTGAAAGGGTGCTTGCTACAGCTGAAAGCTTTCATTCATTCATCCTTCAGTTTGATTAGGCAAACTGCGTTTTATCACCTCACCATTCACAGCAACCTTCATTTGTACACAGGATGTCAGGAAAACCACCAAGCTATTTACACTAAAGTTGTAAGGCTCGAACAAAGAAAATAAGATAATAAGAAAGCTGGTTGTTAAAAAGCGGTGGTTATTCTCCCTTAAAAAGTTCTGTAATTTTGACAGGACAGTGTGGTCTCAGTTATGATGTAGCGTGTTATAAACTTTTTTGTGAAACTCAGATCAGTTTTTCTTTTCCTCAACATTATACCTCTTAAGCTCGGTTTGTTTGTACTTACTGTACAGCGGTAAACACAAAAATTAACTGTCTGAAAACTCATTTGAGGAAACTATACTAGTCTGGTCAGATGACGCAACGACCAGAACCCGTTCCAAACGAAAAACAAGGAAATTACATTTTTTCATGAAGGAAAATACTCACAAGGTTGCTGAAAACTCTCCGACAGCCCACGACCGGTTTCACTCTTCTTGGGGCTCATCAGATAGGCGCAGTCCCCGAGTTTCCGTCAACCTTATGTCCTACTTGAACCCAAATTGGACTGTTTTCGGCAATCAATATCGTGAAAACGCCCCAGGAAGGGCGGAACCGGTGGTTGGCTGTCAAAGAGTTCTATTCCTTTATGAAAATTCCCTTATGAAAATATACTGCGCTATCTCGAATATCGTGCCAACTGAATCATGCGGCGGCCTGTGTGCAGCACATTTAGTTGTAGAATATCATACACGAGAGATTCAGTTGAGTTTCTCGTGAAAACCAAATTGATTTGCAAAGGAGCGTATTTTTCGAAAAGGAAATTACATGTCTATTAAAGTGGCCTTGTCAGCTTCTGTAAAGTAGGCAGTCTCTGTGTAGTCTCCGGTTTTTTTTGCATGCCATTCAACTTATGAAGACAAACGATGACACAAATTCCAGTCCCGGAGTTTTATACCCAGAGTCATCCTATCCCAAGAGAAATCGATTCACAAGTTACAGTAACCAGCATAATTCACCCACAGACATTTTAGTTACCGACCAATGACATCCTTTCGAAGACCTCCCATCCCCAAACATATGCCGAGCGACGCTTGGGACTTGAGTTTGCTTCTTGTTTACATATCACTAAAGATGCTGTGAAACCCTTATCTACCAGGCGGCTTCCATCGAAAACTCAGGATTCGCTACTTAGTCGTACAACGAAAAAAGTGTACTTTCTATTTACAAGATGTATAGAAGGGTAGCGGTCAGTCGATTCAAATCTGTTCATCCAACCGGACTAAAATCGTTGTCCGATGTCCGTCTCAGTACCACGGTTCCAGCAGAGTACTTATCATCCTTTCGACTTTGTCCTCCAGCTTCAAACATTGTCACTGACCATATGAGGGTATACGGATTTCTTACAAAGTGTGCTCCATTTTTCGGGTGTGTAATCGAACGACTTTGGAGCGATACTAATTAGGGGGAAATTATTAGAGCCTCCGGCATCCTATTGACAGGCGTTTCGTCAATCTGGGGCAAAAAGCGGGTTCCTGAAACCTGGATTCAGTCTAGGTCAGTCAAAACGTCTACCTTTTCCGGAGTTGGCGGATCTTTTCCAGATAAGCCCTAATGCAAAAAGTGCATGTGCGAAAAGTTAAGCCCCGCCACTTTTCGCCAAATCCAGCTTAATGTACTCAAACAACCTCTACCTGTTTTTGATGAAAACAATTCCTTATCCACATCTAGCCTCATTTTGGTGATCCATCACCAACGTTTATGAAACAATGGCCACCATATTACACTTCCAACTGTTTCTGATGGGTGGAGGTGTAATGCCCGACAGTGTCGGCAATACATCGGTCTTCGAAAGGGAACTTGGCTGCAGCGGTCTAGGATGGAGTTTAGGATAGGGCAGTAATCTATTCACTTATTGCTGGTTCAAAAATTTGGCAATAGCCAAATTCTGCTCAGAGGAATTATTTATTAGCCACACAACCGCTGTTGACTGGAAGGACTTTCTTCGCAAAGTTTGGGCCTAGCGGCTTTTGCAGACTCCAACAGTTATCGGTGGCCCAGGTCTACACGTCTAGATCGATGAAACACTAATATCTCGCCGTAAAAGCCAAGCAGGGCGAGTCCTTCCCCAGTTGTGGATTTTCGGAGAGATCTGCCGAGAAACTAAAGAGGTGTTCATGTTTGCAGTGCCAGATCGAATTGCAACCACTCTGATGGACACAATCCAGGCCTGCATCGCTCCCGGCGAAATCATCATCTCCGATATGTGGGCATCATACCGAAGAATTGAAACGCTGATTGACATGAATTATGCTCATGAAACGGTTAATCATATCGAATACTTTGTAGGTCCAACGACTGGAGCTCACACACAGACCATCGAATCTCTTCGGCACATCTACAAGATGCAGAATTAACGCCAATGCGGCACACACCAATCTTTAGTGGACAGCTACTTTTATGAGTTCGTTTGGAGGCAAAGGTACCGAAAAACGGCCCTCTTCCAGCATCCTGAGTACGGTTTAACCTGTCTCTGTAAGAAAGGTCAGATTCGTGAAGATTATTCAAGAATACCCTAAACTTACTGAGACCCTCAAACTCTACTAAACGTCCATCAGACAGCCTTGGATCGAGGCCAAACAGTTTCCTTAAGAAACAGCTTGAGGCCATTGTACTTTCGCACTCGTTTGTTTGATATAACGAGTCTTCCGGCGCTAAGGCTGTCAGATGTAACAGTCTCTAGCCGAACATCACGTGACAGGAAACCAAACTACTTTAGATAGAACATCGAGTACCATGTAGACTAACAAACCTCCCTGTCTTCCCACATACAAGTGGATTTTCATTCTTTGCAGGTGAACCCCACCAAAATATCGAGTTTTTAAGACCATTTCAGATAGTTATTCACTTCCATTTGACTCAGTATACCCATCGCATTTCAGGTGTGGGCCGGAAGCCTGTTTACTTACTACATGGGACGGACTTTGTGTGATAAATTGAGTTGACTTAGTTGTGCGTTTCCGTTCGAACTGTTTTCTTCTCCAAATCATGTGTTTGAAAAAATTCATCATGTTGTGCTCACCCAAATGTCTGTCTTCGGAAGCGTTTACACGATTTCTGTGTTGACAAAATCTCATAAAACTTATCCATGTGGGGCGAAATGGCCCAAGTGGTTAGAGCGCGAATTTACTGACCGGAAGGTTTGAATCCGACCTCTGCCACTCGACTTCTCCTGTCTAGGCCTGGGCGACCTGGCAGTATCCCAGCCCTCGTGCTTCCTCCGGGTGGCATGGCAGCTAGGCACCGGAAGGGTGTTACAGCTGAACGATTTTTATTATCATTATATGCTCCATTGAAGGGCTTTTATTCGGAAGCAGATCAGTGTCCATGAGCATTTGTGTCCAAGAATATTTCTGGCAATGAAACTTCTACGCCAAATATGGCCACCCGTGACGCTTTGGGCGAGGGTATTTTCACTTATTTCGGACCATCAAGGGGTCAACAACGCCCTTACTTATGATAAAAATATGAAGCCCCGATCATAAGCGAATAAAATGAAGATAAAACCAAATGTTCGCGTAATAATAAAATTGGAAAGGAAGCCTCTCTCCCTGTCCAGAATAGGTTCACATCAAGAAATCGAAATTTCGCAGTACAACCAAGCAGAAGGATCGAGCAGTTGAATCAGGGGTTAGAAGCAGTAACTGCAACAAGCCCTCAGGTAGAAAGATCAAAGAGAGCACACATCTGTTGAGCCTTTCCGTCTGGTTGGTGCATCCTCTGAAGTCTGAAACCAAACGAACCTGTTTCGGTACAAAAGGGTCAGTGTTTGAATGTAGTTTGGACGAGAAGAATGGCAAACACCAAGATTTTCTGTAAGCATTACTTGATCTGGGTTGCACCACTACTCAGAGCAGGTTAGTTGAAACTGTTTTTAAAATTTCCCTGTACATTCCTCACTGTTCACCTTTTACCACGCCCAACCGTCCATGTGCCTTGGGATATTCATTCTTCAAACAAATCAGAGTGAATCTGCTGTTGTCATCCACCTGTACTTAGGCTACACTAAAGGTTAACCAAATAGACAGTAATATCTTCCATTCTAGAGGGTCCACGCCTGGGCAGTGAGCAGTCATATCACGGCACACCAACTCAAGCGTTACAGTAAAATTCGAGCAGTCAGACAGGTTTTCTGAATGTTTTATGTGGAATTCGGGTAGTATTTTTGCAATGAAGGCCGAAGAGATGTATCAGGCTACAGTAAGGACTGTGTTGTGCAGTGAGCATATCACGGCACACCAACTCAAGCGTTACAGTAAAATTCGAGCAGTCAGACAGGTTTTCTGAATGTTTTATGTGGAATTCGTTCGGTATTTTTGCAATGAAGGCCGAAGAGATGTATCAGGCTACAGTAAGGACTGTGTTGTTGTATGGGTGCGAGACATGGCCTCTGCGGGTAGAGGATGTGAGGCGTCTTCAGGTTTCCGACCACCGATGCCTCAGAAGCGTGACTGGTTATGGATGGCGTCAGCGTGTTAGTAACGAGGTGATTAGAAAACGGGTATTTGGTTGTGCTGCAGGCACCTCAATCCGGTAAAACA